CCAACGAAGTACTGATGGGGTGGTCATAATAATCGTGTATGTATGTATGTATGTATGTATGTATGTATGTATGTATGTATGTATGTATGTATGTATGTATGTATGTATGAATGAATGAATGAATGAATGAATGAATGAATGAATGAATGAATGAATGAATGAATGTATGTATGTATGTATATATATTATATACACACACACACACACACACACACACACATATACATACATACATACATACATACATACATACATACATACATACACACACATCCTATTACCAACCTGTGAGTGTACAAACAAACTACTCCCTGTGTCATGACGTTTGAGTACATGATACTGCACGCCAAAGAACAGCTAAGAGTAACTTTGGCTTTGTTCCTAAGTGGGTGAGTGACCTACTTAATACAATTACATCAGAGAAGTGTTACATTTACATGTATGATGACTTTGATCTCCTACACATGAATTTAGATTATAAGGTTTTGTAACAGATTATGTAACTTTAATAAATCATAATTAACATTTGATTTGTGATCTCTGGCTCTGTATCTTCCAATAAAAATATTTACCTCACTATCTCTTCTGCAATGCAACATAAAAGGCTATCAGGGTGGTCCCTATAAAGTATTAGTATTAAAGAGTGTGGGATACATGCGGGCAAACTGACTGGTCTCTTTCAGGTTTATGTGCATATCATGGCTTTTAGGGCGTGTTCACACCAGCCCCTGCGTGCTATGCTCCATACAATTACTTTTTTTACATTTTTTTTTACTTTCTTGAAAAACACAAAAACACTTCTTCATTCAATGTTATGCACCACGCACTGCAATCCTATGACATGTGTTTTACTGTGTAAACATGTATGGTGTGAACAGGGCGCGTAGAGAACAACTGTTCTCTATGCCCCCGTGAGAGCTGCATTGATCTGCATAGATCAACACAGCTCTCAACACACCTTGGTGTGAACATGCCCTTAAATTAAACTCTACTTTTCTTATACTAGGCAAAGCAAGAAGTTCGATAACAGGCACAATGAGGATCCTACACTTTTCTCCTCCAAGCTTCCTTGCTGCCCAAAAAAATACGTGGCAGTATGGGGAAGCACTTGACAACTATAAACCCCCCCCCCCCCCACCACCCCCCCCCGCCAACACCACCAGTACAGTACTTGAGCAGTCAATTTCCAAGCCTGACTACTAAAATTTAAGGGGAAGGGGGGGAGGGTATTTGTATAGCACTGCACAAGTTTACATAGGAAAGCCAAACTTGTGGTGATAGATTCTGAAGGCTCTGACAGCATATCAAGGTGACAAGGCAGCTCAGGAAAAGCAAGTATAGGACGTTCATTGTGCCTCATATTAAGCAAATATGTTACTTTTCCTACAATGAACTGCAGAGTTTTTCACTCTACATTGCACAGAAAACAGCAGTAAAGCTGGCCATACACTGTTATATTTTTTTTGTTCAAACTGCGGGCTGAAGAAAAGAAATCTAACAGATTAGCGTGGATTGACAAATCTCCTGCTGGCCTCTTGTATTCTGAGTGTGCCAAGTGTGCCGCTGTTAGAATACCCAAACAGCGACGGCAGCTGATTTGCTCCTTGATTTCCTGATCGAAGGATGCCAGGCACAGGGCTGCTGACAGGGCCACCCAGTTGATCAAGAACTGGCCAAAGTTCACACAGTGTATGGCCAACTTTAGGGTGACATGCTTGGCAGAGACAGGCAGACCACAAAAACTACAAAAAGCAAATATGTGAATAAAAAAATCTACTTATAAAAAGTCCGGTCTAAGCGCTCACCACAAGGATTCACCAATGATATGATAGGGGAAATTTTGTGGTGAGCGATTAGACTGGATTTTATAAGTTTATATTTTTAGTTAAAATACTTGAGAGGGTAGTCTTTTTCATTTCAGCTCATAGCAGCTACCAGTTTTTAAGAATATATTTTCTACTCTGAGCTCTGCCAGTATCTAATTGTTTTACTGTGTGAATAAGCTCACCAGCTTCCACCCAATACAACAGACATCAGTTGTGTTGCATAGTGTGTCTACGTCTGGGCACTGTGGTTCCTTACAGCGCAGCCACAGTACCCAATGGGGGGGACACTATGCGGCAGACCTGGAAAGGTCAGAATGTGGTGGCTATGAATTGTTCAACACAGTTAAGATTTCACTCACCTCTACAGAATGTTATGTATGCAACATGTTATGTTAATATGTTGCTTCTGCTGCTGACAGGGTCACTTTAAGAGCAACTCATCTGTAGGCTTAGATATACAGCTCACTCACAAAAGCTAGTATGTTCAACAGGCAACTCAAATAAGCAAATGGTACACTTCGGTGATTCACAAGAGCCCCCAGCTTGTCATGATGAAAAGCCACTCCACAAGAAGACCTAATAGACAACATGTCTATGGTATAAAAGAGCAACAGCTGTAACCTTTACCTTTCCACTATAGGAGTTTTCTATAATAAAAGTGCTTTTTGTCTTTTACAAACCTGGAAAAAAAAAAAGCTTGCAATATAAGCAAATACTGGAAATATGTGGAAAATGAAGCCATCTATAGTATTAGGTGCTTTAAAAAAATACTAAGGACTTACAAACGTGTTACTATGAAAAATGTATTTCAACTATGAAATCAAATCTAGAGAGTCAGCTTAGAAAATACTGTGATATGTACACCCACCCAACATTTGTGAGTTCATATTTATACACTAATAACCACTGACATTTACCAATAAGAATATGTTTTACATTTTCTACATGATTTTCACTTATTGTGCGTCTAATCTCAAGAACAAAAATGTGTGTAATACAGCAGTCCTGAGATGTGATGACTGCATTTATTTTTCAGGCTTATTTCCCTTAAAGCGACATTAAACACAGGAGTTAAATCTTAAAAATACAAAAATACATTCAAGTACCCTAAATTAACAAAAATGTAGTTTATTTGTTTATCACTCAGCTGTAGATCCTCCAATCATCTCTGAATTGGTGACACTGTCCTTGCTTCTGGAGGGTGGCTACTTTTGTTCCCCATGGTCCCCGTGTGTGTTGTAAAGTAGGCACTGCTCCAAGCTCATTCCCATGATAGGCTATAACTTCAATATAAATTAGTAAACCAAAATGTGAGATTATAGTTCATTACTGCCGGGAGCTTGGAGAGGCGGCAACATTACAACACACTCTGTCACCATGGGGAACAAAAGTAGCCACCCTGCAGAAGGAAGGACAGCGTCAGCATTAGGAAAATATTTTGGGGCAAAATTAAGCTATAGGCAAAATGCAGATAGAACCAAAATGGCTGAAAATGCGGCTGGAAATTCAGTGCATCCCTAGCTTCTCTCCTCCCCGCTGGGCGCAGGTCTGTGTCCCCTTCTAACCTCGCTGTTCTTCCCCGCCTGTGTCGGCAAAAGCAGCAAGGATCGGAGGCGACACAGACTGGTGCCCAGTGAGGAGGTGAGAAGCTGTCGGGATGGTGCAGGGAGGAGAGAGCGGTCACAGGAGGCCAAGCTCTCCTCTTGCACCTCCCTCCTCTGCCTTCTGTGACAGGCGGAGCAGTCAGGATGGAGAGCAGAGTACAAACAGTCAGTGATCAGCTAATCGCTGAGTGTTTATAAATAACTGAGAACATGGTAAGCTTACTGTGTCCCCAGTTATGAATGAACAGGAAGTGCTCTACATAACTTCCCTACTCAGCATGAATTCAGAGATGATTTGAGCATCTACAGTCATACACAAAGAAATTATAGTTTTGTTAAAACTGAAGGAGGTACTTGTATGTGTTTTTAAGATTTAACTCTGGAATTTAGTGTCACTTTAATTTTCACCTGTTGATCCCGTCAGTAACACACTTGCATTGGAGCCTGCAAAGCATTGCAACTGCCATTAGCGAACCATGGGTGCAATGCACAGACTCCAGCAGACAATTCTATTAGCCCCAAGTCTGTAAGGAGGTGCTGGAGGAAACTAATAGACTACAAGCTCAGTGACCTCACCACACTTGTGCGGTGTTGAAATCTACACGTCTGCGGTGGCAGATGGGACCTGTCTTTTCATTCACAGATCTTGTAAATCAGATCTTGTTAGTTTGACACCCCTGTAAATCAGGGGTGTCAAACTAAATTTAATCGCGGGCCGCATCAACATTATGGTTGCCCTCAAAGTGCCTGTAAGACTATATAAATGTATCTAATCTTTTTCATAATTGCCTCTGCATTCGATTATCACTGGTTTTGGTAATAACTTAATACCTAGATCTGAAAGGAGAAGTCTAGGAAATGGCCTGGTGGGCCGGATTCGCCCCCTGGGCCTTGAGTTTGACACACGTGTTGTAAATGGTTCCGTGAATGAATGACGCAGCTGTACTTGTAGAGAACAAAACAAAAGTCACTGTTTCAAAAAAGTGGCCATCAGGTAAAGAGTCATGACTTTTCGTCGCTACTGAAGGCAGTTTTACCTTACTGAACTAAGGGATGCTGGCGATTTGGACATTTTGCTTCATTGATGTCAATGTGCAGTATTTAAAGCGCTACATAAATTGTCTGCGTTATATAAATACCTGTAATAAAAAACATTTCTTGTGGTGTCATCCACATATCATTACAGCACCCCACTATGGAAACGGGCTGCATATATCAGATTTGGTGTACGGTTGAAACATTTATACTTCTGTGGGGAAGGGGGGCTGGAGAATCCAACCATGCTTCATACTACATCCTAAATATGGGTGTAACATAAAATATGTTCCAAAAGGTGGAATATTGTTTTAACCCTTTTGGAAGTTGCTTTAAAAAGTAATAACTTGTGCTAGTTTTAACCCACCACTGCAAGCAAACTGTTGTTCTAAAAGCTTTAGTTTGTGGATTCAGAAAATTGTACCAGTTGCACCAAAGTTTCCACTTTCACTGTAGGTATTCCAAGCTTCCAGTTCTTGGAAGTTTTGAAAGTCTCAGGGTTAGGAATTAGGAATGTGCTGTGAACAGTGTTTACCTTTGCATGTTCCTGTTCTCCCTGCTGGAGCCTGCGGGTGGTATGATTGGCAGTTTCCACTGTAAGAAAGAGATTTGAATTGATTAATCAGCTGTTCTGTCCTCAAAAGGGAAATGGTGTGCACAACAGAGTGTGTGACAGACAGAGAGCCGACTCTAGTAAAACATGTTCGCACTATGCTCAGGAAGTGCCCTTGGGTGAGAACTGCGAAGGCCTGGTTCAGCATATAGCACCCTGCTGCGTTAAAGAAGCCAAAGCAGGAAAGACATTAAGGGCTCATCAGTTTCCAGGACTGACAAGTAATGGGAATTGCTAGTACTTTGTACATATGGAAGGAAAGGCTTGACAAATCTCAGATTGCTAACAGATGGACAGAGGGCTCAAATATTTCCTTTATTTACATATTCCATAACAGCCCTACAAGCATTCAAAGCTCTTTCATTGTTCTTTGAATATGCAACACTTGTATTTTAAATATGTCAAACAGGCAACCACATAGCCATTTCATTGTCTACAGACAAAAATCTTGGGTATAAAATGCATCCACCCAAATCTATTATTCCGGTTTTGGTGAAGGGTACCAGGGCAGGCCATGTGTAAAATATGTTCTGCATTTGCAGCCCTGTTCAGATCATCCTTGTGAAGATCTATTATCCTCCTTTGCTTGTGGCTTCTACCTGCCTGCATGGAGAATTTCTTACTGAAGACAGTTGAGCCTACACCTAATTCCAGCAAATGCAGCGAGGGGAGAGTGTTTACTCGAAAAACTTAATGGAACCAATTCTAAACAGTGGGGATGGTTCTAAATACTTTGGGTGGAGTACAATGGGGCACTGAAATCATCATTTGCATACACTTCTGGTCTAATAATTAAAAGGGTAAGACCACTTTCCCAGGTGAATCTAGGAAAAAGAAATTACCCCTCCAATCTGGCTCCTTCTTCCCACCCTATACTTACCTTTCAGGTAAATGCTCCTTTGGTAAATGCGGGTGTACTATTCATACCGCATACTGCCGTATAGAGCACCCCTGTGCTAAGCATTTTGAATTTCTCTCGCAAATGGCAAGCACATCAGCACGGTCATCCGACCGTTCTGACCAATGAGAAGCACATCTTAGCAAGAAGCTAAGATGGTCAGCGTGGTCAGAATTGAAGGGGCTAATTCCGTTTTATTTCCCATATTCACAAGGGAAAGTGGACGTACCCTTTAATTAATATCTAATGGGAAATCATCAGTCCTTGTAAGGATGCAAGTGCAGGACTACTGTATATTTTACTGGGACCAAGTGATGTTTCACTCTGCAGACAATGCATGTATACAATCTGAGGAACCAAGTCCCTCTACTGTTTAAATGTGTATAACCCAAGCAAATGGAATAACACCAGATTGTTATCTATATGTAAAAATTAACCAAGTGATGAATAACACAATAAAAGCAGTTTGGTAACAGACAGGTGCTAAAAAAACAAATTTGCATTTCATCTTATCTTATATCCACTGTCCCTACTGGAGTTGATCAGTGCAGTAGGTTAGTAAAGGCTTCCCTTTGCCAGGCTACAGATTAAGTCTGTCCTGTGTGGAATATTAAAGGAAACCTTTCCAGAGGGAAACATGCATTCTGCCATTGCTGAATTCTCATTCTGTAAATGCTGGTCACCTGGCTGTTATGCTGACCCTCTAGCTTCTGTACTTTGAGTTGCTGATCCAGAACTATTCTGTAGATAAGGGCTCTCACTCCTCTCTGACTTTCCTATAATGAATGCTTGTTCTGGGTTTTGACTAAAGCTGGCCATACAACTTACAATTTATCTGCAGATGTTCTATGGTCAGATGGAAAAGGTGCAACAGATTCCTCCATCTACACTAAACTGTGTGGATGGAGTAATCTCCACCTGGCCCAATCTGTTGCACTTTTTCCATCTGACCAGAGAAAATCTGCAGATAATTGTAAGGTGTATGGGCAGCTTTAGAAAGTATTGGAGCCAGCTTGCCAACATAAGAGCTAGGAAGCTAAACATTTTTTAGAAGGAGAATAGCAATTACAGTCTCCATACTGCGTTCAGGAAAGGAAATCACCATGACATAGATATAGGTGCCGCCAGAAATGCGAGTGGTGGAAACCCTGGAGGAGTGCAGGAAACCCGGTAAGCACATACTGGTTCCAAGTCGGTGACCCAACAGGTAATGAAAGACTCACAAGGTTGACATTCTTAGAGCCAGTACGTTTTAATTGTAATTTCTATCCTCACAGTTTTTGTTTATGGCTTCCCCAGATCAGTTATAATCTCACTACCCTGTTCTGTTCTTCCATAATTTTGGATGTGCTCAAGGAGCCAACTTGGATTAATAAGCCTCATGTACTATATTCTGAGCCCAGAGCAGTTAAGAATAGAATACATCTTCTGGCCACAACATTAACCATTAGCAATCCTACTTAAGCTTTAAAACGTTGCCTAAGCAACCCTTTTAGGGCTTGTTCACACCAAGCGCGTTCCAGGAGCAGAGCAGTTACACACCGGATCAAAACTGCGTCCAATGTATTCCAATGGTATTTTGGGTTCTAGTTCACACCGCAGTGTTCAGTACCAGAGCATGTAAAAAAAACTGCAGCAAGCACTATTTTACCTGCTCTGGAACGCATGCAAACGTCTCAGCAACGCATGCAAATGCCCTGAAAACCCAGGGCTTTACCAAAAACGTCCCGGAATGCATCCAAAACACTTCAAAAAACGCAGCATAACACACTGCGTGTGCAGAAACTCAAGCAGATCTGGTCTGCATTTGGTGTGAACAAGCCCTAAATGGGAAATTAATCAATTTACACGTGCAAATGAATCAACAATGAAGCCCAAGCCTTAAAGCAGGTAAACCAATGCATCATAAAAATAGGTTTGCACGCCCAGTATAGAACATGATTAGTGATTATAGATTTGTTTCTCTATGTCGAAATGTGCTAGCATTTCCTGTGAAGCTGAAGATAGAATCAAGTTCTAACAATACCAGCATGTCCCATTTATACAAAAGAGAATAGTTATCTCTAGATCACCAAGTGACTCGTCCTGTTGGTGGGAATACAAAAGATGTGTGACAGATCCATGGCACATGTTCCTTACAGTGATTTCTAATAAATGTTGTTTTTGTGCCTGAAAACACATGAATTATGTCAAAAGCACACAATAAAAACTTCAAAGTGACTGCAAAAACACCCAAAGGAACGCAAGGCTTTGCCTCCCTGGCTATTTTTCCTTTTAACATAATTTTGTACTCTAGAAGTGCTAATCCGTTCTTAACTGCTTAGTCGTGGACTTTTTTGTTGAAGTCTGCCTGAAATAAGAAACACAGAGTGCCAGAGAGTGAAGACTCTGCTGCCTGTATTCAATACCGTTTTCTTATTCATCCTATTGCCTGTTTATAATTTGAAGCAGTGAATTGTTGCTTCTTTTGTACCGCGTTCTTAGCACTGTGAAATGCTTTCTCTTAATACAACGCTGGACAAATCCCAGAAGCCAGCTGAAACTTTTCAGGTTTTCTAGTTGTGGTCAATGGAGCTGGCTCCTAAAAGAAAATCTGCTGGCCCCGGACTGGATAGATTGGCTCCTGAATAACATATTCATTTGTCCACCCAGTCTTAATGGGTTCTGCCCATTTATAAAAACAGAGAGAAACAATTTCACTTGTTCTCACTTTCAAAATGTTGCCCTTTAATATGGCACCTTTTCCCAAGTATGAGCTTTTATTTTCAATGATGTAAAGCTGTGCAAGGGACTTTCTGATGGGGGAATTCTTTTTTTTTTTTTACCTAAAGGTCTGCACTAAACTAAACCAAAATCTGACAATAAAATGCTAAATCTTGCCAGCTGCTTTATAAACAGTCTCCATATTTTCAGTTTAAGAAATCTATATATTAAAAAGCTGCTCAAAAGGGAACTTTCATACTATATATTTTCATTTTATGTATAGCAGCTGTCAGTGCAGGCCTGGTCAAATTTCTAATTTAATGTACATGTAATGTAATGTATAATATTGCCCACAACACATAATAAACATTCCACTTCACTGGCATTCCACTTTTAGCAGCGAGTCCTCAAGTCATCATATTCAATCTAATATATTGTGCAGCTAACCTACCCTCTTATGCCCTCTCCACTAAACAATACCACCATCAGTCCATATGGGTTTTACCTCTACAGTATGCCAAAATATAGCAGATATATCATCGTGAGCCAAGCTATAAGCTAATACAATTAACAGGAACACTCTTTGGTTTCAAAGAGGTTTGTAATATTCAATTAAAGGCTAGGTGTGCCTTTCTGACCATGTTTTATATTAAACTCATATTTAGACTAACATGAAACATGGTCAGATCGCAAGCCACCCACCTATCCCCACTCCTCCCCACCCACTTACCTGCATTGAAAAGGCTTGTTTCCGGTTTTGAATTTGGCACTGTTGGACATGACCCTGCCCACACAGCCAGGTCATCCATTCACGGATCCTTTCACAGGATCTTTGAATAAAGAAACTGAAAGTCCCATCTGCCACCACTGCAGAGGGTCTGTTATTTCTCAATGGAATAAGTGTGTAGACATTAATGCACTTGGAGTCCACTGACACTTTGTCCATGTTACTGCATGTCCATACCTTGGTACAGACATGGACTGGAGGAACACACTACAGAAACCAGAGCATTGCACCTGCGATTCACCGATCATGGTTGCAATGCTTTACTGGCTGCTATGTAAAAAAAAAAAAAAAAAAATCACATTTTTTCTATTGTGAGGAATTGTACATTTATTATTTTTCTACAAAAGGTGGAATTTCACTTTAAATAGTTACCACGTATTATTTATTGCAGTATTTAATATCTATTAAAGTGCTGCATTAAAAAACAAAATCACTAAATGGCATTGATAATAAATAAATTATGTAAAATGTGTCACAATGCAGTAACATCCCCTCACTTCCCAATGTCAATTGAACAACCAACATTCCTTTAATTCCCAATACCACCTTCCCATGCTTCCATAGCAGCCAATACTCTAGCCCAGTGGAGGCGA